CCCGTGAGGAGGAGGTGTGGTGGGGCTCAGGGCTCCTGCACCGGGTGCTGCCTCTCTCTGGGACTCCCCTCTGCTGTGCTTTGTCTGCGCCTGCTCCTTCTCTCAGGCACCACATGCCTAGGCTGCTTTGTACATCCCCTTCCTCTAACGCAAAGGAAGGTAGCCCAGAAAGGAAAAAATTATGAGGAAGGACAGCAGCAGCTGCGTCTGGGCCCTCAGGGTCCGGTGGCCATTTGGTGTCTACAGAACATCCTCTGGTTGGCGCTCGGAGCCCCTCATCCAGGCCGCCCTGGGCCATCCTCACGCTCCCTACACACAGCTCATTGTTTAGGGGCAGTCTCCTCAGAGCGTCATAAGCACAAACACAGAAGCATCCTCAGTGCCCTGGCCCAGTCGCTGCCTTGGCATCTCCTGTGCTCCAGCTGCCCCGGAACTGGCCCAGGCAGTTGTCTTCCAGACCAGACAACTAATCAATTTTTCAACTTTATTAAATTCTTTCCAAGTAGTTAATTCCTGCAGTTTTAGAGAATAGGTCACAAGTGTATTGCCGATAGAAAGTACTACGGGGCCTTAAAATCATCTGCCCCTGTACTCCATCCATGCCGTGTGTGCGCAGGGGTTTTTCTGAATCAGAAGAGTCTTCTGTAAATGCAGGATTGCTTACACAGGCAGAGACCACCGGCCACCACCGTTCTGCAGGACTGAAGGGGAACTCTGCAAACCTGGATTCTGCCCCGACCTTCCTCCATAACAGCCACCTGGTCCCCTAGTCGGGGGTGTCACATGACCAGGGGCTCTTTGTTCCCTCCCAGATGCCGCTGGCATTCGGAGGAGCAGAACGCCTTTCAGATGGAGGAAGCAGGCCCAGCTTGCCACGGAAGAGCCTCACTGTGGGGCTGTTCCCTAAGGGAAAGAGGCTTAAATTAGTACTCAGTGTTGGTGGAAGAATTGTCATTTTTTTGTTGGTTCAAAATTTAACAGATTTGACTGTAGTCACGCGCACTGAAGTACTAATCCCTGTAGCTGTGGGGTGGGGGTGATAATCACCGAGCCGCAGGCTGTCCTAACACATCCACCCAGGTGAAAGTATTTTTAACTAAATCCAACTTCAGCAAGTTCTGTTTCACTAATTTTAAAACATAAAAACATAACCAAGAAAAGTAATTTTAGAATTGACATTGAAGAAACATGTTATCAGGAAATAGTTTAAGGAAATTGGCTTCATGTTGTTAAAATTGCTGTCACAGCCCATCTACTGCCTGGCGGGGTTTGACACAGACTGGCTCAAAGTGGTGAGTCGAGTTCATCCAGGGAACAGAATTTCTTAAATCCTCGGCAGCAACATTTTCATTTTGTGAACTTCCCAACATCCTGAGGAGTTTCCTTTCCTTCCTGACCTGTTTTGCTTTTAATTCATAGCTATTTCTAACTGATGTGCGAATGTTTTCTTTTCCAGTGGTGAACTGTTCGGATCCAGGCTTTGTGGAAAACGCCATTCGTCCTGGGCAGCAGAACTTCCCCAAGAGTTTTGAATATGGGATGAGTGTCCTGTATCATTGCAAAAAGGGGTTTTACCTGTTGGGATCTTCTGCCTTAACCTGTACGGCCAACGGCTTATGGGATCGTTCTTTGCCCAAATGTCTGGGTAAGTGAGGGTTATTCTGGATTCTCCTGTACATGAGCCCTGTAAGGACATCGGCATGCAAACATATGCATATGTTCAAAAGATACTGAACGGTAATTCTCTCTTCTCCTCTCATCACCAGTTGTTTCAGTTCTTATGATAGTTTTAGATAGATGGCAAGAACCCCAAAGTACAATTTAAACTAATCTAAAGAAGAGGTGATTGGCCGGCTCTCATACTAACCACCAGAGATAAACAGGCCCAGGTTACTGCAGGTCGCTTGGGCCAGTGATGCCTTTGTCTCTCCGTGCTACCTGCCTACCCCACCCTACCAATGGGCTGTTCCACCATCGTCTCTCGGCTTTGTGCTCTGCCCCCTTCCTCCCACTGGCAGGCTCAGAAATCTGGGCAAAGGGCTGTGGGATGAAATTTCCATCTTTTGGCCCAGCTGAGCATCTGTGGCCCGGGGTGGGGGGCAGAAGAATGCTCTGAGGGACACGATCTGGGTCTCCTGAGCCCTTCTGGTGCAGCCAGCAAAGAGAAGGCAGCATTCTAATCATAACCCTCAGTGGCTTGTGTCTTTAAATCAGGGGCAGGAACACTGCTCTGCAGAACAGTGGGGCTCTCCTGGGCAGAGGAGGTTACAGATTACCACCATGGACCCCCTCAAAACATTATTGTCAGTATATTTTAAAGCATGTAGGTCAGCAAGACTGTATCATTTTTTCCCTAATAGCCATGGCCTTATTTTCTTTTACTTGAAAAATTAGATTGTCTCCTTGCTCAAAGAGAATCTTCTTTTAAGAATGTAATCTGTTCTGAAAATTTAGGAAAAGGTGTTAACTCTTTTTGGCATTTCTGAAATCACGCAGAGACAAAGCAACCTTAAAATTGAAATCTTATGTTCTTCGTATGCATTTTGTGTGTGTAAAGAAAGCAGGAAATGACAGCTACATTATTAATTGTGTCTGAGCCCACCACACACACACACACACACACACACACACACACACTAACCCATCTTACTGCATTACAACAGTGGGGAGCGCCACTGAGAACACATTGTTACAGGAAATCTATTTCCCTCCTTGTACAATTCCCACCCGCCACTTCTAATTTACACAGAAACTGTCTCGAATTCTACCTTTAACAATGCAATTAATTTTTGTGAAAGAAAGAAAAGGATAACTTAAAAAAAAAAAAACCTCTCAGCCTTATATAACCAAAACAATGCATCTGTAAATGTGTTCCAATCTCCATCAGACTGTCTGCGTTAGAGTCACCCGTGTCTTCACAGATAGGGATTTTCCAGAGAGAGCAGTTTTGTTTTTTCTTTCCTAAAATATTTCTTTTAAGGCTCCCCTGGCTTCTGTGAGCCTTCCATTAAGGTTTGTAAGGAGCCTTCCGTTAAGTTCCTTGTGCTTCAAAGCTCTGGCTCATTTCCTCAGTGGCTCAGTTGTTAGTTGTCATTAGCAATCGGAGTGACCACGAGTGTGGGACACAGAGGCCGGAGTGACCACGAGTGTGGGTTACAGAGGCCGGAGTGACCACGAGTGTGGGTCACAGAGGCTGGAGTGACCACGGTGTGGATCAAGAGGCCGCAGCGGAGCCCTTCCCTGTTACAAGCTCTGGATCACAGAGGCCGCAGCGGAGCCCTTCCCTGTTACAAGCTCTGGAGCAGGGGCTGTGTTTCTGTTTTTCCTGCTGCATTGTTTCCCTGAAGGTTCTCTTTTTTCTGTTTTATTTCACTTATCCAACACTTCACTGTTTAAGTTCTAATTGGCTTTTTCTTAGGACTCTATGTAGACATCACCTGGTTCTGAGGACTGATATCATGAGGACTAGTGTGACTCAGGGCTGGTGACGCCATCCAGGCTCTCAGACCGTGAGGACTGATATGACTCAGAGCTGGTGACGCCTTCCAGGCTCTCAGACCATGAGGACCGATGTGACTCAGGGCTGGTGACGCCTTCCAGGCTCTCAGACTGGGAGGACCGATGTGACTGAGGGCCGGTGACAACTTCCAGGCTTTCCAAATACAATTACGCTGGGATATTAAATCAGTTGTCTTTGAATTATTTGCTGGTAACCCCAATTCAGTTTTTTTTTTTTTTTACACATAGCATAAAAATTTGTCAATTATTAATCCTAATTTGTTACCTCAAGGAAAGAGAAAGGTAAATTTTCACTATGTCTTATTAACCTGGATTCCAGAATTTGCCTACTTGGGGGATTTTATATATAGATTATGCAACTGATTTGGTATAATTTTAAGGAAATGAATGGAAATACTGCTATTATTTTATAGAATAAGAAACTAATCAATACATTATCTTATTACTTCACTTCCACGTTTTAGATTACCACCTATTCCAATCAAACTTAATAGAATGGTCTTCTTAGACATGTGATTGAAGATGAAGGAAACTTGGCTGAATTTAGTCCCTGAGCAAAGTATAGGATTGTCATAATAAATAATGAAATAATTAAAATAGATTTGATGGATCCGCATTACTTTCTCAAATTTAATACTGCTCACTTAAACTACGCGGAAGCATTGATGAAAGCCTTTTAGTAGCCTGGCTTTCCCCCTTGAAGACCCACATGTGCAGGTGACCCTGTGTGTGAACACCTGGAGCAAAGTTACATTAGAATTAGAGAAAAAAAGAAATCTTCATTGACAGCCTTTTTTTTTTAATTTCTTAAATAAATATTGGTGAAGTAATGTCATCTGGAACTTACATTTTTTACCAATTATAGTAGGAAACTGTCAGGGTTTGCCCATATATTTGGCCGTTTTCATTTACTGGGTAATGTTATTACAGTTGTCTGTATGGGAGGTCTGCCTATACAGAGAGGTTTAACTGGAATGAAGCACTCCATTTCTTTTCTTTCTTTCTTTTTTTTTTTTTTTTTCCCTTCAGCTATATCATGTGGACATCCAGGTGTTCCTGCCAATGCTATCCTGACTGGGGAACTGTTCACATACGGGGCCACAGTTCACTACTCCTGCAAAGGGGGCCACAGTCTTGTAGGCAACAACTCCAGAGTCTGCCAAGAAGACAGTCACTGGAGTGGAACTCTGCCCCACTGCACAGGTGAGAAATGCACAACCAGGTAAAAACGTGGAATAGGGTACAATCAGGCACCTCTGTGAAATGTTAGTGCCTTACTTCCAGCCAAATCTGACCAGTGGGCACCTCCACTTTATGTCTCCTCAGCAGACTTGGGAGCGTCTGGGTCGCAGGTGCTGGGAAGCTTGTTCACCTGGGCTCAGAGCGTCCAAACCTCTTTCTTCTTTATCCTTCTCTGCTTCCTCTCAAAGCCTCCACCTTTCCTCCTCCTCCATCAGTAATTGCCTTGACCCCTATATAAAAAAATCATTTGAATTCTTCCTGTATATTTGTTAAATAAGCAAAATTCAGTGAATCAGCAACTGTAGACATAATAGTGAAGAATTCAGCCTCTGATCTGATTTTGTTTTGTTCTGGGCCACACGGAACCCTGTTTCCCTTTTGCCTTCTGCCCCCAGCCTTCCAGGGGACACCTGCTGCCCTCACAGCCCAGTGTTGTCCTTCTTCCCAGGAATTCCGTTTGTTCTCACAACAGTGTGTTAATCCATCATTTGTGTTTAAGTATCACAGAGGTATCACGAAGAAAATTTACCTTACCAGATGACCATAACACCATGTGGCCCTAACTCACATACATATTGAAACAACTTTTCATAGTCAGCTATGCATTGCCATGTGTTTACTTTTAACAGGAAATGATCCTGGATTTTGTGGAGATCCAGGGACCCCAGCACACGGCTCTCGGCTGGGGGATGAATTTAAGGTGAAGAACCTTCTTCGCTTCTCCTGTGAAGTTGGGTACCAGCTACGGGGCTCCCCCGAGCGGACATGTCTGCTCAACGGGTCATGGTCAGGACTGCAACCTGAGTGTGAGGGTGAGTCCAGTCATTGAATCAAAGCTACATTTTATATTTTTAATAATTGTATCATGATTATACAACAGAATGTCTTTGCTCTGACCAAAAAACATGCTGAAAAATACAGTTGAAAAGGACCATTATTTGTGTAATCCTGTAATTATAACAAAGTGCAGAATTACATAAAATGCTGCCACCAAAATAGAACAATTTCCATATTAAAACTTTTCTTATAAATACTTTTAACAATGACAAATATATATTATAGATTTATCATTTAGGACTTTTTGAAAAGCATTGTGCCTTAGGGGTTGGGGTATGTGGCTATAGTCCTGGTTTCTATGTAACTATGATCACAGCATTTTGGCTCTGAGTCTTAATTTCCCTTTGTGTAGAAAAAATGGCTTACAGTTAAATCATTACTACTATTTTCTCAGTAGTAATAAAGGAGACTGGATATAGGTAAATTAGTGCTGGAAGAGTTATTTGGGCTTTTTAGATGTAATCCAAATGCATGTGAATCTGTCAAAATAATTAGACTGTGATAGAAAGCTGAATAAATGATAATACTTCTGTTTCAAGAATGTTATGTGCAATGTTGAGCCCAAACCCTGGCTTTGCAGCCTGAGCTTGGTGTAAGAGGCGTATAGACTGTCACCTTCCCAGGGAGCTGAACCCCGAATATTCTATAAAGAAGGAACACTCACTTGACACTGTAATTATGTATTGGGTTTAATCCAAGTACTTCAGTTTTGCACATTTAACAAAGGAAAAGAAATACAACAATTGAGAATGAGCAGTGTTTTTCCATGGAAACTCACCCTTTGGGCCTGTACATATGAACCTTTCTAAATGTAGAATATAAATGTCTTAACACAACAACTAAGAAAATGACATGAAGGCTGTGCTGATCAATTGGATTAAAGTATTTCAAATTGTATATAGAAACAACACACTGTACCCCCATGAGAGTATTAATGTACACAGCTATAATGTATTAAAAATAAATAAATAATAAAAATAAAAATAAACCCCAAGAATTCTAGTCTAGCAAAGCCTACATAAGTTTATTTGCTTGAATAAGAGAGCTTACTTGGACTTTGCTGTACAAAGTACTTGCCTCAAACTACACAAGGTTTTTTTTTTTTTTTTTAAGTATTCTGGTTTTTAAAGATAAAATTTTAAATATTTCCTGTAAGAGTTATAGAAACTCAGCCCTTAAAAGCTGCATACACAAAGAAGATAAGTTATAAAAATGCTTCAATGCTGAAAATATTTCTCAAATATGCCAAATACCCCATAGAATTGACCACTTCCCAAACCATACTTTATGATGTGGAAATCGTGGGATGTTGAGTGAGCTGACTCCAGTAAATGTTCATACTCATAAAAACAAGAGATTATACATAGTTTGGTGATTAAACACACACACAAGTAGAAGTTAGGGTTCTTGTTTTTTTAATCTGTAGGCTTCTATATTTTTCCTCACTTGCTATCCATGGAAAAAGGTCTCAGCAGTGACTGTGTCTGCAGAAAGATCAACCATGGCTCAGCCAAAGACCCCGGTGAAGATTCGCTCAAACCTGGGGTGATGACTTCCTCTGTTTGTCAAGACAATTAGATCCTGATGGGAAACCTGAATACACTGAAAAAGGGAGGAGGAGCTCATAAATCACAAAGAAAAATTCTTTTAAAATTATTTTTTTAATCAAATCATACCTGTGTACATTAAAGCAATTATAGGGTACAGTGTGCTGCTTTTGTTTCCAATTTGAAATACTTTCATCAAACTGGTTAACATAGCTTTCACCTCATTCTTAACATATTTTTGTCTTTAAATGATACTTGCTTTTATTAGCAATCTAGTCTTTTAATCACAGGCTCCTTCCCTTGATGGATGTTAAGCAGTTGCTAATTAGGTCATCTTAGTCCTGTTCTCCAGGAAATTGTGATAAAGTCTACATTTGAGTCAAGGAGTGGGAAAGTGATGACAATGAAAATAACAGCATCAGCCACAGGACATCTCACTGTGCCAGATGTCGGTGTGTGTACTCTCGTGACCCCCAGAGGCAGCTTTACTCTCGTGACCCCCAGAGGCAGCTTTACTCTCGTGACCCCCAGAGGCAGCTTTACTCACTTTATAGTTAGGCACTGCATCTAAAGATTTTGAATAGATTGCTCAATTTTATGGAACTTGTACTAGCAAGTACACTAGATTGGCATCCATTTAGCTCAGTTTAAGAGCAATCTTTCACCGGGATGCTAAGTGGATAGTACTAATATTTGTAAACTATAAAGTGCATCTAAAATACAATTCTGTTCTACTGTACATCAAGTAAACATTTTTCTGTAACCAAATGTACTTAAAAGGAAAGGTGTATTTCAAATCAGGAAGCAGAAAACACAGCTAAGTTTGACTTAAGGTGCCTCTCCTCTTGTGGTGATTCTAAACTGAACGTCTTGTTTCAGTATCAGCTCTTTTATCTTACGCCATCATCGTAGTGATAGAAAAACAGATATACTGTTGATACTGCCTTCTAATTAATCATCAATTTCACAGTTATAACCATCAGTGAGTATGTTTCCCAGCAACAAAAGAAAATAAAAATAATTTAGTCATGATTTTTACTTTATACAACAAAGTATTTGAGGTGACTTTCTCAATAGTAGAAGGATATTATGACAGATACTCATTCATAAACATAACAGTTATCAGTATTGGTATTGGTTTTGCATGGGTGACTTTTGAGGATTTATACATAAACTTCAGTATCACATATAATTACGATTCAGCATAATGATATCAGTATCCTTTGTTGGTTTATTAGATTATGAATTATATCAAGTCCAGTTCCTTTTGATGACAGACTTTGTGTTAGAACTGCACAATAACTATAGCAATTAAGGGATGAATAAAAGTTCGTTGAATGAATTGTTGTGAAGAGTCCAGCACCTTGCCTTTGTGCACTGTATAATTTTAAATTTCATAGTCATCATAAAACTTCTAAACCCTACGGAACCTTGGATATCTGCTTCAGAATTGGTAAATATGTCTCAGTTTAGATGGCAATCAGAAAGGTGCTGATAAGTCTGTGTTAGAAAGGATTGTAAGTTCAATAAACTATTAACAGTGGCTTTCTCTGGGAAGGACTAGGGGACCCTAATGTAAAAAGAAAAGGAATTTTATTTTTTACTTTATATGCTTTTGTATTGTTTGATTTTTTTCACAATGAATATGCACATTCTACAATAAAACCTATTGAAAGAAAAGGAAAAAAATGATATTTTTCAAAATACTCTTGGTAACTAGCCATGACTCTACTTCTTAGATGATAATTGTTAGTAGATTAGTTAATTTGCAAAAAGTTGAAAATCCTTTCCAAATTGATGCAGTCTATAGCATTTGCTGCTTTAAATGAGAGGTAATATTTTAAAACTACCTACTAAAACCCAACATATAAATAAAATCTGCCTTCTAGAGTAAAAATTACAAAGCAGTTGTAAGCTCAGACTCAGAATTATCAGAGAATTGGGCTGTGATTGATGATGTCTGCCTTGCTCACAGGCACAGAAGTGTAGGCATGTGTGCTCTGTATCAGATTTTTTTTTTCAAACAAGGCCCAGTTCAACCTGAGCATGACAGCATTGTTCAACATATGAGAAAGGTAATCCCAGCAACTTCTGGTTTAGTGATGTCCACATACTATGAACATTTTGCAGGCTATGATCATCCATGTTTAAAAAGAAGGTATCTTTGTTCTGAAGGCTGGATTTGAAATTGGATCAACTAAATATGCAAACATATTTTTAAGTATTTTTGTCTTTCTCAAAAATAGTCTTATGATATATTCTTGATACTAAAAATCTAGGCTGTTTATCACAATTTACAATTGCTAAAATGTGGTAACAGCCTAAATGTCCTTCAAACCAGGAATGGATTGGTAATCTGTGGTCTATGTATACCATGGACTATTATTCAGCCATTAAAAAAATGGGGATTTTGCAGCATTTGTATTAACCTGGATGGAGGTGGAGCACACTATTCTTAGTGAAGCATCACAGGAATGGAGAAGTATGAATCCTATGTATTCAATTTTGATATGAGGACAATTAATGACAATTAATGACATGGTGGGGCATGGGGGAAGAGGAGACCAGACAGAGGGGGAGAAAGGGGTGAGGGCAAGGAAAAGAAGAAAAAAAAAAAGAAAGGAAAATAGTGACTAATTCTCACATAAATTGGATTTAATTTTGACCAAAGTGCATTACTTAAACATTAATTTTTAATTCAACTTGTTAATATGTTGTTTAGGATATTGCACCCTCATTTATAAATGAAATATGTTTGTAGTTTCCCCTTTATAATAATAATTTCTCTGATTTTAATATCAGGTGTATCCAGATCAACTAGAATAATTTTGAAGTATTTTTTCTTTTTCTATTGTCTATAAGATTTGGCATGATCTGTTTTTTGAAATTATCTTTCACTTTTATTTATAAATATTAGTTGTCTATTTTTTGAGACATTGGAAAAAAACTAATAAGAAGTTAACCGATGACTCCATACTGAACCTCAGAGTCAAAGCCTTCTATAATAGACATACTCTTATTTGACAATGTGAATTTTACTTTCTTTGCATTATTATTATTATTAAAAAATCTAGCCAAAGGTCACATTTTTTATTTATCTGTCTATTGTACATTATTGGAATATAGCTAAGAAGGAAATATAACTATCTTCCTTGTATATGGGCTCAACTAAAAAAAAAGCAAAAAAAAAAAATTAGATCAAAATCATCACCTTGAAGTGTTCCAGCCACAGCTGAACTTTCTTCTGTTTTCTGACTCGGCAGCTCACAGCACTGGTCGGGGAGTGCAGATCTGGGCCGTGATAGAGACTGACCGTCATTAATTGAAGCTTTAGTGTCTGTCTGAGGCATTAAAGATCCTCTTGAGAGAAATATAGAGTGCAATCATGTCAACGCCAGTTAACACAGCTGCCATTAGACTTGGTAACAGCGCAGAGACCACTTTACAAAGCAGTTTAAGTACAGTCATTCATATTCCTGAGATGTTCTTTATTTTCCAAAATGAATTCTTTCTCCCAGAGATATAAAATATGACCTGATTTGCCCAGATAAATTGAAACAAAAGAAAATAAAAACACACAGCTATTACGTGAAGGAGGATGCTTCTCAGTCACTAGTATCATAGATACCCTTTTAAATATCACAATAATCACATTTTGGTATTAAAATCTTTCAATCCAAAAGTATCAATGGTTTGACTTTTCAGTGCTTTAGCTCATGTTTTAATTTGTCTAGGAGTCATGTGCTTTGGAAAGCACAGCGGAAACTGCCATTTTTACCCATGAGTCTTATTTCGTAAAACATAAACGCATTAAAGATCTTCCATAGGATTCTGTGCCGTGGTCACGCACTGAGTGAGGAGCTATTAATCTGAGAACCTCTGCTCACCTGTGTCTGTGCTTTCTGTCATGGGTCACTTGCTTTGTGGGTTGTTGCTTTTGTTTCCCTAACAGCTGTGTCCTGTGGCAATCCTGGCACTCCCACCAATGGCATGATCGTCAGCAGTGACGGGGTGCTGTTCTCCAGCTCTGTCATCTACGCCTGCTGGGAGGGCTACCACACCTCGGGGCTGATGACCCGGCACTGCACCGCCAATGGGACCTGGACCGGCACAGCCCCCGATTGCACAAGTCAGTAACACTCATCATGGTAACTCAAAGACATTGCTGTAAAACCCACTCACTGAGGCAAAAATAAAAGGGACTTAAAGTGTTTTACTGATTTTTAAACTTATAAGTGAATAAGAGGAAAATATGCGTTTGATACTATGATTCTATTTCTTATGTACTTCAAGATTGTTCCCCATTTTCTTATTAATGTGAGTGGAGCTACTTTAAAAGGCTATTGGGTTGGACATTGTCAACCTGATGACAGATAGGTGAGGGCGTTCTCTGTCTGTAGACCACCTAGTCTGCAGGGGATTCAGAGAGGGGTGTGGCTCTCTGGCTGCCAGCTGTGTCTCCCTCATGAGGGGCTGGTCCAGGGATGGGGCTGGCACCTGCAACCAGCCTCCAAAGAGTTGAAATAAGTGATTCCAAACACAGGGCCTCCCGACAGCAGGCCAGTACAATCATCACACAGAGGGTAGTATCGCTTAGTAATTCACTGCTTAATCGCTTCCAATAGTAGCTCAAGGAGAGAAAGTTTGAGTAACAGCCCTGCAGAGGGTTACTGGAATAGAAACCAGGACTAATTCATTTCATGAGCAATGCATTTCTCTGGTTCCCTTTTGTTACCCGCCTCTTAGTTATAAGTTGTGGGGATCCAGGCACCTTGGCAAATGGCATCCAGTTTGGGGCTGATTTCACCTTTAACAAGACTGTGAGCTATCAGTGTGACCCGGGCTACCTCCTGGAGCCAGCCACGGCCGCCACGATCCGTTGTACCAAAGACAGCACCTGGAATCAGAGCAAACCTGTCTGCAAAGGTTGGTGCCCTTGTTCTCTCTCACTGGTCTTACTGATAGATACAGAGTCTTTACTGAATTATATTTCATTTTATTTGGCAAGCATTCGAGTAGCCGTTTAAGGGGCTACAAATTCTTAAAAACCCATTTGCAAGTGTTAAATCACTTTATTTTTATAACACTTTAGTTTTGTAGATGGGAAAACCGACTCACAGAGAGGTACAGAAAAAGGGCTGGGAACTCAACCCCAGAAGCGTAGGACTCAGGATTCCATGACGGTGGTACGACCCCAGAGTCAGTGTCTGAGTCCCAAGGCTTTGCTGTCCCTTGGTGAACATGCCCACCCTGGCTGTATCCAGCCTCGGTGCAGACGTGGTGGTCAATGTGCTGGGGAGAATGTTAGTGCCATGACATTCTGTGCACTGGTTACTGAGACTGAGGGTGACACAAGACAGCACGAAGAGGTTCCTGACTCGCATGATTGGACTCACGTGAATGGGAGCCAGTTGGACAGCTTGAGTAAAGCAGAGTGACTGGGTGGCCTCGCACAGGGAGCCAGGAGCATGCCAGGGATGGCGGCCAAGGTGGAGGGTTCCCATCCACACCACAGAACCGGTGTCCTCCTTAAGGGCTAGCGTGAGGTAGGACAGGCAGGGCAGAGAAGAGCTGGGCCTTGAAAGCTGTCCCTGGCAAAGCAGAGAACAGTGGCATCATCCTCTAACTAGACTTGGCACAAGTAAGACACAGAGGGGGCAGAGCTAGAACCAATAGCAGCTTCAGTGGAGAGGGTGTTATCTTCAGTGGGCTCTGGACAGCAGGTGTTTTTGTGTGGACATTCTCTGTGAGGCTTACATGAGACCCAGTAGAAGCTCAAAGACATTGCCTCCCCTCCCTTCCCTGTTCTGGACCCTCCTCCTTCCTCTCCCAGTAGAGTGGGAGGATCTCATTATCGTCTTAATGATACATGTGCTGCCAAACAGCCACTAAATAAACGTAACAAAACACACAGAGTTGTGTTGGGAGTGTTCTAGTCAAATGCTCATGCTGGAAATTCCTAGTAAAATGTTCTGGCCACAGCAGTGTCAATGATTTTGTGGGTCGTTATTCTTCTGTTGCCCACTGAATTCAAAATAATGTCATGGCCAGTAAGTCCCTATGACACTGGAGATCTCTTTCTCACTGGATGGATGGATGGATAAACAGATATCTTTAAACTTATCTCCTACCATTTTTCCCATCATACTCTAGGGAATCTTTTTCCCATGACTGTTCCCCAACCATCATCAGGGAGTCTGAGGAATTGTTTAATGAATAAATGAACAGGTGGCACGACCAGAGAAGGAGCCATTTCCAGCTGAGTGTGCCTGTGGACCTCGCGTGTGTCAGTGTGAAAGCATGAGCCTGAACAAACCAAGCAGATGTAGCCAAGCCTCCTCCCCGTGCCTGCTGCTCCCTGCAGCACCATTGGAAATGTCCATTCATTGCAAAAATCCAGGAAGCTCTTGAATTTTCAGAGAATAAGGGTTTCAGACAGTGTATTTTAGATTTCCTTCCATTGTTGGGTATCTTAGCATCATTTCTGGAGTGTTAAAGGTGGACCTGTGGGACCTGCTCCAAAATCTCCCCAGGGACCAGCAAGCCAGACATGGGGCTCTGGGGCTGTGATAAAGCGTGTGTAGTGGTATTTTACAGAATCTTCTTTAGCCATGTGGGCATTTAAAAAAAATTATTCAGCAAGTGGACAGACTCTGTCTTTTGGAAATTTTATATTATTTAAAAAAAAATTCAGATGGCGGGAGAAATTCTTACCATCTGTGTACAAAAACTCAGTCATATGGCTAAGTCTTCATTTGAATTGTGCTCAGTGGCCATCATAAAAAGACACAAATTAAATGAGAATACTGCTTCTTTTCTTGGCCTGTGTCTAGTAAGAGTGTCAGGTTCCATCCTGTTTTCTTTGCCGGGTGATGAGTTTTGACTTGACTTTGTTTTTACGTATTTGATCTAAATTAATGAAGAAATAGTGGAGCAGTTTTATTTTTTTGATATACTGTCTCCTTTAGTAATTATTGTATATTTAAAAAAAAAAAAAACCTACGGAGATGTCATTTGTAACTCAGGTAAAATTAGAACGTGAACTGTTTGCACACCACAGCTGCGGTGGGGGCTCTGCAACGTTTAATCTTCTTTGTTCTCTGGAAATAGCTGTCCTGTGTCCTCAGCCCCCTCACGTGCAGAACGGAAAAGTGGAGGGGACAGACTTCCACTGGGGCTCCAGCATCAGTTACAGCTGTGCAGACGGCTACCAGGTCTCCCACGCGGCCATCCTGTCCTGCGAAGGACAAGGAGTGTGGAAGGGCGAGGTCCCTCAGTGCCTGCGTAAGTTCCCACAGGGCAGCGGGGGCCGGTGACCCCAGAGTGTGGGAGGGCAAGGTCCCTCAGTGCCTGCATCAGTGACCCCAGAGTGTGGGAGGGAGAAGTCCCCGAGTGCCTGTGTAAGTTCCCGCAGGGCAGCGGGGGCAGCAGGGGCAGCGGGGTCAGGTAACTCCAGAGTTTGGAAGGGAGAGGTCCTTCGGTGCCTGTGTAAGTTCCCGCAGGGCAGTGGGGGCAGCGGGGGCCGGTGACCCCAGAGTGTGGAAGGGAGAGGTCCCTCGGTGTCTGTGTAAGTTCCCGCAGCAGGCGCACGGCTGGCCGCAGGGTCAGCGGGAGCCCGTGACCACCGCACACACTAAGCTGGCAGTGTGGGGAACCCAGCGATGTGGTTGCCAGCTGGAACCGGACACTGCACCGCCCAAGGGTAGTCTTTCCTATTGCTAGGCTACTTTCACGGGCTTCATAGTTTAACCTAAAGATTTAACAGCGACTGGGAAGGCAGGTTCAGCAGGTGGACCCAGCACAGGAGCTCCCAGACTGGACTTCTCCTTGTTTCCCGCAGCTGTGTTCTGTGGAGACCCCGGCACCCCTGCTGAGGGCCGGCTCAGTGGGAAAAGTTTCACCTACAAATCGGAAGTCTTCTTCCAGTGCAAACCCCCGTTCATACTCGTGGGGTCTTCACGGAGGATCTGCCAGGCTGACGGCTCATGGAGCGGCATTCAGCCCACCTGCATCGGTAATGACTGTCACGCCGCCCTGAGAATATTTGGCGACATTTGGAGAGGACATTTCATTCCAAAATTGCATCATTTGCAGTTGCATACACAATGTGCTTAAACACAATTTTATGCACAGGGGACAGTCTTTGAGCATGCGCTGATCAGCCAAGTGAGGTGCAGCGGCTTTTAGAGACGTCCTCCCCGCTGTGGTACTGGGGCAGATTCGAGTATTGATGTTGGGTCAATTTTGCTCTTACACCTAATTGAGAAAAAGAGTAGACATTACTGTAGTAAAATATCAATAATGCATTTTGATCATCTGAGAATTTACTAGTGTCTACTTAAAAGCGAAGAACAGCCTCAGACATACTGTCATTCAAGCATTTTTTCCCTAATGATAGAATATTTACTGTCTTCTGACATGATCTACTGACACATGGTAGCTATCTCTCTGTTAAAAGCGTTTTTATTCTCCCTGGTAGGTTAGTCGCTCTAGAAAACAAATCTCAGAAAGTTGTCTGTTTTGTTTTTCTGCTCACAGCTGGGGAGCTGCTAATAAGGAAGTTGAAATGCCCTGTGATTGCTCAAGTCCTCTATTTTTGGAAAATGTCACTGTTGCTTTCTCGTAAGCTTCAGTTTTGAAGCATTAAATATATTTCTCATCTTGAAATCTTGAGGGAAAGTAATGCAAGGAATTTGGAAGAATTTAACGGCCAACCCAGTGAGACACCATTGATCGAATCTTCATAAACCAAAAGAACAGCCTAGATCAGGACTACAGACACTGTGGACCCAATAAATACGTGTCAGAGGAAAATACTAAACCAGAGAATGAAAAAGAGCATACTTATTTCTACATAGAAAAGAACATATAGAAAATTTAACCTCTGATAAAACTCTAAAAATTAATGTCTAACGAAAGTATCTTGGAGATAAAAATAGAAATTTACTTTAGTTTTTAGCAGTCATGAAAAACTTCTTGTGCACTTGTCAAAACAGCATTTTGTCATTTAAAACCTTTTAGTAAAAATGACAGAGTTTCTGTAATAACTGCATCTGGTCTTTCTTCTTCATTGTGATTATCAGATCCTGCTCATAACACCTGCCCGGACCCTGGCACCCCACACTTTGGGGTACAGAACAGCTCTAGGGGATACGAGGTATTCCATGTTTATTTTACTATCCGTTTCAGGAAATCCAACATACAATAGCTATTTAAATATATATGTAGGTTTTATATACCGTATCTTATTCGCGTGACATTGCCCAAATAGAATTCATTCAAAGAGGGTTTCTACCTGTGTTTTTAACTGCCAGAATTAGTACAGCTATTTATATCTTGATTAATATAGTAATAATTACTACATGAAACTGTATAGTAACCTATTCTTTGTCTGCTAAACTTACATGGAAGTTCTCTAATTGGGGTAACTCATCTCTGCATAGATACTATAAAAGACTTCATTTAGGAACTTCATACAATGGGCAAATAACATTAAATTATAGGAAAAAAACAGAAGAAGAAAAATGTGTTTAAGTCCCTTAGTCTACATTTACTTTTAAAATCTGTTCTCTGTATTATCTCTTAAAGCTCTATGAATTATTATTATGCTAAGGATAACTTTGAAATGTTCATTGACTTTCGATAAAATGAATGTGAACATTTCAGTTAATATTGGAGAAACACCTAAAAGGGGAAGGTAATGAAGCCTGAAATAAAATGATTTAACCACCTTAATTACTCAAGTAACTCCAAGTCTCTCTGATTATATGACTTTGACAATCAAAGTTAAATGTATATACTACTTCCAACTTAGGGATCCCATCAATTTAGAATAAAAGGCCATTTTCTTCCGTCTCTTCCTCCCATCTCTCATATGCAGTAAAATATTCTGATTTTACTGGCTCCAACACACATTGGCTATTTCCTAATACCTATCTTACATCCCTCCCTGAAATTCTTACAGGTAGCTGATACATTACCTCCAGCTCATTTTATATTAGGTCTCACTATGGCCTTAAGCTTCAGGCAAATACTTAAATTCTGGTATATGAATATTCAATGCCAAATATCATGGAATATTGCAAAATACCATAGGTGAGGAAGGAGTACTGTGAAAGTCTGATCACCATTGATCACTATTGCTTTTATTAATCCTTAACTTTCTTGTGTACAACTTACAGCAAATAAATTTTTTTGGTGACTATATATACCAACATATTTCCATAATCTATCATAAGATTATGATGGATTGGGGATGGATAAATTCTTTATCCCCTTTATGTCAAAATAAAGTCATACGAACATAGATAGAAAAATGGTACCTGCCAGCAAAATGTACTAATAATTATAAGGTCACAGATGTCATCTTTTAAAGAGGTGGCTGAGACCATGAGATGCAATTCTCCCCCAAGTAAAACTTCTTTTTCTTCCTTCCTTAGGAAACGTTTTAGTTTTGAATGTTACAGATGAAACTTTTATCTTTTTTTTTTTTTTCTTTTTTAGCTTTGTATGCAGAAACACTCTTACACAGAGTGAACCATCTGAGTTCAGGAGCAGCCTATGTTCTACTATATTCATTATGAAATTTAAACAACCACCTCCCATTACCCCAGCCAGGCATGCTCCCTAACGCTCAAACTCCATTTAGAGTGTGTTGTGTGTTGGTATATCCTGCTAAAAGTCATGTGCTGAGATGCACAATTTGTCTTTTTCTGACAGTAGATGACAAAGGCTGTCTGTGGTTCCTTCTGGCAGGTGAATAATGCCAGCATCTGTACCAGGAGGGCTGCCTAGGGGCTGACATGCTGACTGGGAGGCCCAGTGGAACCTGCTCCTGGTAGAGAGGTGACAGGCCTGTGCTTTCTTGGCCTTCAATCTCCAGTTGGATGCTGATTTGAAGCATAGATGGAGCTGAATTTTTTTTTCTTTATGAAGTCCGATTTCTACTATATTAAGTGCTAGAAGCAACTCCCCCAATACACACACACACTTAATCACTATTCAGTGAACCCTCTCCTTCCTCACATTTTATTTCTGAGTATTCTTCCAAAATCCCATGAGGGAGGGAAGGCCTGACCCCTGGGCAGATAGAAGATTTTTTTTTTTTTTATTTTTGTCGAGACAGAGTTTCAGTTTTTGTCGAGACAGAGTCTCACTTTACCGCCCTTGGTAGAGTACTGTGGCATCACACAGTTCACAGCAACCTCCAACCCCTGGGCTTAGGCAATTCTCTTGCCTCAGCCTCCTGAGTAGCTGGGACTACAGGCACCTGCCACAATGCCCGGCTTTTTTTGGCAGTTTGGCAGGGGCTGGGTTTGAACCCACCACCCTTGGTATGGGCCGATGCCCTACTCCCTGAGCCACAGGCACCGCCCAGGAGACAGAAGACTTAAGTAACTCATTTAAAATGCTTAGAGCAGGTATCCAAATGGATATTCAAATATTTGTACTCCAACTTGGTGCATTTATGTGGCTTCATAAGTCAAGCTTTAGGAATCCACTGGGTCCCGAGCGGAGCTGTCCTGAGCACAAACCTGTCTTCTTCTCTGGGTCCTGTTTCTCTCTTCCCTCTCCTGTGCACCTCACCTGCCTTCATGCTGCAGAGATGAGTGGTCAGGAACCATCACGGGGGCCCTCAGCAAACAACCGTCCCTCACTTTCTAGAAAACCATTTACAGATCACTGCCAATCTGCCCTTTGAGGCACTGGCAGTTAAGTTAGGAAAATCAATATGTAAATATATAGGTGATTCCCCTAAGAGTTGGCCAGTCTCCTAAAGATGTTAACAAAATAAATTTTGTAATAAATACCAGTCATATAAAATGTGAGTAGAAGAAAAAAAGTGGAAAAGGAAATAATAGTTATTGCAAACTAAAGAGAGAGAACTCTAAAATTAAAAAAAGAAAAAGGATAATTTCTTTACCTAAATAGCCTTCCAGATTTTTCAATTTACTGTCATCTAATCTATTACCTTATCCATAGAGGAATCTATATTGTGTGTGACACTTTTAGATGCAATTAAAATTCACATGTTGAACGGCACCTGTGACTCAAAGGAGTAGGGTGCGGGCCCCATATGCAGAGGTGACGGGTTCAAACCCAGCCCCGGCCAAAAACTGCAAAAAAAAAGAAAAAAGAAATTTAAAAAAATAGAATAAAATAAGAATAAAATTCACATGTTACTTTTCACAATAGCATGAGACTAAATGTGAACTGTTACCAGTATCTTCTGCCTTGGGGTGGGTTTGAAGCATTACTAACTTACTGGGGATGTTCCTTTCACCCCTGAAGCTGGTGTTGCATTTGTTTTCTAGGTCGGAAGCACAGTTTTCTTCAGGTGCAGAAAAGGTTACCATGTCCAGGGTTCCACGACTCGGACGTGCCTTGCAAATTTAACGTGGAGTGGGATTCAGACTGAATGCATACGTGAGTGCGCTTTCCTCCACACCCGCAGCAGCCACCTCTGTGCTGTGAATGACGGGGAAGCATGGACCCCCAAAGGAAATAATGAGAACCTGTTCCTTATTCGTTTTTAATTCCCTAATTCTGAACTTGGAGTGGTTCTCAGGGTGCAGGGTGTCGTTCCTAGGGATTGGCAGCACCAGTATTGCCATTGAGTTGCTTAATGAAGCCAATTTTAAGGCCCTCCACTGAGTTGCTTAATGAGGCCAATTTCAAGGTGCTGGAGCCTGTGAATCAGAGAGTCTGGGGGGTGTGGAACACCAAGCCCTCCAGGGTTTATGTAGGATTTTTAAAGAGGGGGTGAACTGGATCATGTTATATACCAGGGGGTAAGCAGAAATGTTTAAAATGTTATTCTTGTTGTATAATTGAAATATATATGACTTGATCATTCAAATTGTTGCTTCCACATCAAATTTTATTTTTTGACTTAAGCATGAGAATTAGAAGCAATGTCATATGAATGTTAGTAAGTCAGTCTTTCATTTTACCTTGAAAAAGAAGTATAGTGATTTACTCTTGTCTTAAAATGCTAAATATAAGAACATTAATAGCATGTTATAAAAAATTATTTTATTAGCACATAAGGGACATTTTATGTGTAATTATTAATCATTATTATCAGATGTGTATTTATTTCTAAACTATCTTCTCTACTCTAAACCATTACTCCAATTGTGGTGCATAGTGTGTATACACATATGGTACATACACCATCATATATGTACATATATGTGTGTGTGTGTGTGTGTGTGTGTGTGTGGAGCTTGCTAATATCAGGCCTTCACTAAGCTGAAAGTTTCAAACATTAATAAATTGCAAAGTAGGGACAATACTTAAAGCAATTACATTCACAATTTTAAAACTATAAACTTGCTTTATAATAATCTGCCGATACCTTTCCTTGAGACATATGTGAACCTTATAAAGAATGAAATTATTTGATATAGAATATACTTTACAGTCTCATTTATTCCTAAATTACATTTTTAAGGAAATAAGAATTGCTAATATTTTAATTGTTTAGAAATATGTATCAAATTTTTACCAAAATTATTTAATTGAATAATATATTTTCTACTTGCCACTGGAAAAGAAGTATCAAGACTCATTTCTGAATATGTGCCAGTCTGTATGAGCTTAATTGTAAGACAGGCCTTTAAGGATTTGTAAAATAGTATTTTGAAAAATTATATATGTAGTGTATCAGAAGTGTTTGCTTATTTCAGAACTTTGATCTCCAAATGTGTAAAAATATATATACTAACTTCAAAACCATTGCCAAGATCTTTTGCTCTATTTATTTCTTTGGATACATATGGCAACTTTTTGAAAAACAAAGTCTCACTGTTTCTAATAATGCTTCACTCAATGCTTTTTCAGCTCACGCCTGCAGACAGCCGGAAACCCCAGCACACGCGGATGTGAGAGCCATCGACCTTCCTACGTTTGGCTACACCTTGGTGTACACCTGCCACCCAGGCTTCTTCCTTGCTGGTGGATCTGAGCACAGGACGTGTAAAGCAGATATGAAATGGACAGGGAAGTCGCCTGTTTGTAAAAGTAAGTCATTGATCAAGGAGTGGAAATGCCTGCCGAAAGAGCAAGGAGCGGTACCAGCTGCCCGCCAAGCTGTGTCCTAGTTTTAAGTTCCTAAGTAACGGCATGATGGACGCAGTGCTGTCATCCTGCCTAAACTGTGCCTGATGTGCGTGAACTCCATGTGTGCGCATGTGCATATCGAGTTTGACACAATGGTGGCACAGCTAAGTAAATACACAGATTTTATTATTTGCTAATTTCATTTTAAGCCAAAGGGAAAATAATAATATATGCTATGTTTTCAGAAAGTGTAATTCTTAAAGATGGAAATGGGTAAATACCACTAAGTACCTAGAAAAAAATATAAATTGAACTTTCTGTTTAATTTTTAAGACCACACGCTGTTTGGCAGAATGTAAATGTGTGTGTTTCTGACGTTGACACCCCTTTTTAAATTTTTTAAAGCAATTAACCTGGAAACCATGCATTAATTAGTCACAAATTTGAGTGTTTACAAATGCGAGTAGTAAGTCTGGCTCTGATTTGATGGTGGCTAAGTCTTCAAGTCCCCCCACCCCCAACTCCCTCACCTAATCTACAACTGCATGAACTCTAAACAGCATGAACAAAACTTCCAGGATGTGACCAGTACAGAGAATCCAGGCTCGTTTCCTGGGGCTTACTTGCAGTGCTCACATTGGGGATTTTTAAAAAGAGACTTTTTGTTTCCCTTGCCCTTCCCTATCAGAACAAGAATGGTGCAAACTTTAAAAATGACACTTTGTGATTTGATTCTAGCTATAAAAGCTAAGAGATTAAGTTAAAACTAACTTGATTGAGCAAATGAAACATTCTGTAAAGGAAACACTCTGATGTCCTTAAACAATTTATGAATTCATGGATTTGGTGGAGGGATTGAAGAATTAAGAAGGATTGTGACATCTTATTTTCAGTTATTACCTTTTAGTTCAGGGTAGGATGTCCCAAATAGGGTATCAGAACATTGACCTAAGCCACCCTATTTGCAAGGCTCTCTGTTGTAACACTTTACGTGGAAATACACCTTAGACAGATGTGTATTGAGTTCTCATCATCCAACTTGGCTTTCCCACAAACACAAAGGATATTCTGCTGTGAATACCTGGGTTTAAAATGTATATATGCGAGGTATCCATATTTTGTACATTGAAAAATCTGGAGAAAGGACAATTGCTTCAATTTGACATTTTTTTCAAACTTATTCAAAAAATAAATGTTTTTGAAAGTGATAATTTGTCTTTTTACTTGTAGGTAAAGGAGTGAGAGAAGTTAATGAAACAGTTACTAAAACTCCAGGTTTGTATACCAGAATAGTTATAGATTTCAATCAAATAAAATGACTTGTTCGCTACTATACTTTGTGCAGTGAATCAATTTCTAACATTTAAATTTCTGAATACATCAGCCCATGGCAAGGTTATAAATGTTTCAATTATTTAAAACACCAGGCCTACATAGATTTATATTTTTTCACAACATGGTTTGTTAATGAAATAACATTACTTCACTTAAAAGAAAAATATCTTTGTTGTTGTCAGGCAGTTTCATTAAAAGGTGCTCTAGGCCCTTTACAGGGAGAAATGGACCTCGAGGGTTGACTGTGCCCCGTGGTATGATGGAGAGCCTTGTAAAGAGGGTTGCAATTCCTTCCTCCAGAGGAAGAAGGTCTTGTAAATGAGGCGCTTTGACCACATAAGTTGTTGTTTAAATAGTTAAAATGTGGATCCCCATTCTTTTCCACATATTTTCATAATTTGGACATCCTCTGCCTTCAAGAATGTGAACTATAGGGTTTCTTTTGGGGGGGGGGGTGCCTTGATAAATGCATTATATAGCAATTTGGAAAGACATGATTCTATTTCCTAAGAAAAGTTTCCATTACTTGAAACCATCCGGCATGTTTTTCCGTGTCATAACTTCAGAGACTATTTAAATAACAAAACGTGTCCTCAAATTATGTTACTTTAAGTCACATTGAGTGCTTTTTGTCATTACTATTTTATCAAAAACAGGAACCCTTTGTATATAAGATCATGTGTCTAGTATTTTGTTTATTCAGTGTGTTAACACTGGTTTCTTGGCCATAATGCTCTGTCTAGAATCAAATGTGAAATGAGTATTTGCAATGCTATTAAGTCAGGATTCATGTTGCACATTTAATCCCTAGATTAGACAAAATGTATGAACGTGATGAAAAGAATTTCTCCTGTTTGCAGAATGAAGAGTAAAACTTTGTAATCTTTCTGGACTATCTTATTTAAATATTACTTATAAATCAAATACAAAAAGAAATCTTTTTAAAACAACATTTTCTTCAGTAGAAGGAAACAATCTTCTTTTTGCTGTTGTTGTGTATTTGTTATGTTATTTATTTGCTTTAAGATTTTGAAATATGTAAATACTCTTTTACTAGGTACAGACATGATCATCGATACACTGTTTCTCATTATCTCCGAAGGGAAGTGCTAATTACATTGGTTCTGTATCAAGGTGATACATTCTAACACAGCTCAATCACTTGCTTCTTGCATTACACCCCATGTTGCCTGTGACAGGTGAAATGACGAGAACCCAGAACGATGACCTCTGCGGCATGAACCATGGTCATATTTTGATACACAGAAGCCACCTCTAAGACGTTGATTATACCCTACTCCACCCAGGCAGGCAACCTAAGTGAAGTCCATTAATATCTTCCGATGGGTATATACATTCTAATTAGGGAAAGAAATCTTGATTTATCTTAAACGTGATTAATTTTAGTAAAGGAAAATAAAGTCATTTTGGGTTTCCAGTAAGACAGGGCCTCTGTGATGCTAGGCTGAGTTTTCAGACTGAGCCTGATTAGGAAGACAAAAATGGCCAACTGGGAAAAATCGAGAAGCAGACGTGAAATACACTTTGTCCCGCTCATTAGTCACTGCGCGTGAATTTGCTAAAATGTATACTTGGGCAGAAATGAATCTTTATCTCTACACCTAGAAACTCAAACAATATGTTAGGACCAGTTCGACTTAAAGTAGATCTTTTCTAATTAAATAATGTTAGTGCATCATAGTACAAAAAGCATAGGGACTCTTTCCCCATGGAATGTTTTTTACAGGCTTATCAAAGATCAAATGATGATAAGCGCCTGGGTTCATCTTTTGCTTCTCTATTCTGTTCCATAAATCTACCTCATGTACACAGTCATGATTTAATTAAAAAAAAAAAAAAATGAAAGAGACCAAAAAGCAAAGGGAAATTTAGTGGGACTCACTGATGTAGATGTCTATGCTATCATCCTAATCATTTTTAAATTAATATTGTGAAAATAGAAGAAATGTATACACATTTAACAAAGATGTAAAACATAAGTTTTTCTTTCATAACTGGTAAAAACAAGAAGAACAAGAGAACATTTAATAATCTTTGCAAATGTTCCTGTCTCAGGAGAATTTTATGTTTTAAAAAGACTTTATACCTTGTCTTACTGAATTTAAAAGGCATATATAAAAGAGATAGTTGAGATTACTGAAGCCACTTTTCTTAGTAAGATTGGAATATCCCAAAGAAAGAGAATAAAGTAGAATAAGACAGCCTGCGTGAGAGCATTTCTCCAGTTACAAAACAAAACCCTCAAGAAATGAAACACTTTTGCCTTCATAGGCTGGTTGCACCAAGTGTCCCTTGGAAATGCAAACACTTAGAGGGCAGGGACTGCTGGCAGAGGGGGCGTGTGGGCTATCCCCGGCCCGCTAAGTCTTTCAAAGGGTAGACTTGATATTAGTGAAACACTGGTAGTGACTTTGTGGGTAAGTTTAACGTTTGTTCCTGAGCACATTAAAAACTAACCAAAAATTGGTAGTACCAATTCACCGTGACCACTGGCCGTGGCACATCTGTTAAATTAGGCGGCTTTGGCTTCTAAAATGCTTTTCCAACAAAGAAAGGAATATCTGCAGCACAGCAGTGTTCCTGCCTGTTTCTTTCAACCCACGCACGTGTACGGAAGGTGCTGGGTTATCTGCCTGCACCACCGTCATCCTCTGTGACCTCTCACTGAACAGTACATGCCTTCTGTGTCTGAAAGCGTCTGAATTTCACGTTTGTGTGTGTGCTAATAGTCGTCTGTTTCTCCATTCCGACAGTTCCTTCAGACGTATTTTTCATCAATTCAGTGTGGAAGGGATATTATGAATATTTAGGGAAAAGACAACCTGCAACTCTAACTGTCGACTGGTTCAACGCAACAAGCAGCAAGGTGAACGCCACCTTCACGGGGTCCTCTCCAGCGGAGCTGAGGCTGACAGGTAGGCCTGAGACTGCCCTGGGGGCACCTGCAGGAGCAGAGAGAGACCCACTCTTTTTGTTAATAATTAGTAAGCTGGGCAGCACCTGTGGCTCATAGGAGTAGGGCGCTGGCCCCATATGCTGGAGGTGGTGGGTTCAAACCAGCCCCGGCCAAAAACTGCAAATAATAATAATAATTAGTAAGTCATATTGGCTTCTCACATATGCCATCTCATTTTTGCCTCTTCATAACCATGGTAGGTTGGTATTATTTTCTCATTTTAAAGATTAAAAAAATAAAAACAGTACCGAGAAGCTGGTTTATATGACATATGAAGTCAGGATCTGGGATTAATACCCAGATTTGCACTTCTCTGCACTTTATTCTTTTGATACACTTTTTCTTAACCCATGTGTTCCTCATGAGTTCGCTTTTCTGTTATCCTACAATTAATAAAATGACAGCTCTGATTTATACCGCAGATGCTATCTTAAGCCCTTTATATATATTATATGTATTATTCTCACATTATTTCTATGATTCAAGTACTCTTACCATATGCTTTCTTATGTGCTGATTTTGTTAAAGAAAGAGAAAGAAAATTACGTAGCTTTCCTAAGATGATGCAGAAAGTCATTGAAAGAGGCAGGGTTTGAACTCAAAAGTCGAATCTTGAGCCCGTAGTCTGATCTGAGAAGGGCAGTGTTGCTGTCATGCTTGCATCCAGTATGAGTTTTTAAAAAATCACTCTACATTTTATGTATAGGTATTGTTTTCAGGAGGTTAACTTTAAAGGCTTGAGATTCTCCTTCAGTTATCCACAAGGCATAGCCCTGGTTCTGAACACCAAGAAGCTCAAAAATGTCACCATGTCTCACTAATCAATAGCCAGCCCAGTGATTGATCCTTAGGAGGGTGATTGCACGTCAAGCCCTCGCTGTGCTACCCTACACGTTCCCCAGTCGTACTTCCTTGGGCATGGACACATCTAAAATTAGTGCATGTGTCCTGGATTAAGAAAGACAACATCATTCCAGATGAGCTGCAGGGATGGGCGTGTGAGCTCCGCGCCCCCGCCTGCGTATTTCCTTTCACCTTACACCTGCTAGAGCACAAATGATTTAGACCAGGTACTGAGATCTAGTCATGGGTCAAAATTATCTAAGAATAAAATACATGGGGTTTGGGTATTATGCAAATGAGTCAGATAATATTTCTCTTACTCGAGGGGCTTGGTGAGTTCAAGTCCAGTTAGAAGCAGCTGGATTTGGGGTTGTGGTTTCAGTCTCTTTTAAAACATCGTCCCATCCTCAGAAGTGAATAAAATGTGGATAAAAAAAATTCTGAATTTTTTAATTAGCAGAATTGAATACATATTACTTTTATTCTTTCTGTGGGGTAAAGATGTTGAATTTAGTGAAATGTGTTACAGCCATTCAAGGTAAACAAGGATTTAATAAGACACTTTTTCAGAAACCAACAACAAAAAAAAGGAGGTGCTGAAGCTGAAGTCTACACATAAAAATAAAATTCTTGCTTGAGTTTTCTGTTATCTACAAGTTATTATCATCTCTGTACGATGTTTCAAAGCCAGTGGATTAAATGGGTAAATTACTACCTCTGGAGAATTCCTCCCTGCTGAGCCCGGCCAACTGATCTGTTCACAGGAGTTTATAAGAAGGAGGAGGCCCACTTGCTTCTGAAAGCTTTTCAGAGTAAAGGTCCAGTGGATATCTTTGTAAGCAAGTTTGAAAACGACAACTGGGGGCTGGATGGCTATGTAAGTATTTGGGTGAGGTTCGTTGGGGAAGGGCTTTCTAGAAATCCTCTGTCTGAGTGGAGGGTGGCCGCAGGCTGAGTTCTCCTGAGCACAGCAGGCCGTTTGTTCCTGGGAACCCAGCTGCCCCTTCTGGACAGCAGGCCCATTTTGTCCTTTCATTTTATAATGGAAGGAACTGGGCCTCTGAAGTGAGAAATGGGGCAACAGCAAAGGGTCGTCACCATTAGAAACAAAACAGACCCTGAATCCAGGTTCTGTGCTGTTAGCACCAGATACCACGCTAAGAGTGGTGCAAGCCCCAAATGTTCCAAGAGCATTGGGTGACGACTTGGAAAGTTTTGGAAAAAGTAACTTCGAGTCCTTCTTATACAAGGTAACCGTGAGCTTGAGGTGTAACTTGCTATGTGCCTTCGGGCAATGCAGGCTCACGTGGTGGGCGCAGGCCGATAGCTGTGACCGAACGTGAGTTCTGTATAACGCAGGTTACTTATCATTTACTGCCTTTGGCCCCACAGGAAGGGTCACTAACATACAAAAATGGTGTAAGCTGGGCTACCATTTCAGGGGTCAAAGGAGAGAGCATTTGTAGAAGTTGGTTAAGGATTTGCATATGGATTTCCAATTTTTAACCATAAATGTGTCACTGAATAGAGCCCCCAAAATACCTAATATTTAAGCTATAGTTTCTAAATCTGAGATTGGGCAGTTGTATTTTGATAAAGGAAGGTGTCGCGGTTAACCCCTTTCTGTTTTTCTGTTCCTATGTGTCAGGTTTCATCAGGATTTGAGAGAGGAGGGTTTACTTTTCAAGGAGACATACACGGGAAAGACTTTGGGAAATTCAAGTTGGAAAGGCAAGGTGAGTTGCACTTGAGATACGTTTTAAAGCGATTATCTATCTGGACTGCAGAGAAGGAATGGAAGGAGAGTGGCTCCAAGAGAAACATAAACTTAACCGCAGAGGCTAAAAAGGTTATGAGTAAATGGAAGATTCTCATAAATAGCAAAAGGCACAAGCACAAAGCTGGAAATAATGTTATCAACAGGCCAGAGGTGGAATTAATATGCTTACTGTATCAACAGCTATTAAATAAACGGGAAAACCACAGATGAGACATGATTCAAAGGGTCTAAATTGTATTTCCTGAAGAAACTAACATTCTTTTCTCTTTTTTTTCTTGTTTTTTTCTTTTTTCTCTTTTTTTTTTATAAAATCATAACTGTGTACCTTAATGCAATCATGGGGTATAATGCGCTGGTTTTATACACAATTTGAAATGTTTTCATCAAATTGGTTAACAGCCTTCAGGGCATTTTCTTAGTTATTGTGTTAAGACATTTATATTCTACACCTAGCAAATTTCACATGTACCCTTGTAAGATGCACCGTAGTTGTGTCCCACCTAAAAATAATGTGAAAGTCACTGAGTGTTCAATGAACATCTGAAAGTATCTTCAAAAATATGTATCTATATAGAATAACAAATATATATAATTTTTTAGCTTTCAGAAGGGAAAAGTTTTTAAAAAACCCTTTTGCATTGAAAGTTGAACTAGACATTGAGGTGTTTAATTTTGGTTGATCTGTGAGTAGATAGGCACAATTTACTAGTAATGTTTTATCCAAAAATTCTCTCTAGAATTTTTATTCAGACAGGTGTGGAAATTATTCCTTACATATTCAGGCATGTCCCAAGCAGTTGTTTTTAACAGTTGAACATGGAAATAACTTGTGTGGGTTACACATCTATCACAAAGAATTGTTTCAAAAATAATTTTATGCAATAAAATAAATAGGAAACAATTTATATTCAGTCTATTTCATTAAAGGAATAAGGGTCACATATTGACATGGAAAGATGTTCTGCAAATTACTTAGGTACCAAGGTGGGTCCTCCTTCCTCCTTCACACAGCGCTCTATCATTTGATGTTTACCTTAGGAATTAGAGAAGTAACACCTATGGAAACAACTACTAGATTTGAGTGTTACTATTTGTGATTGTTAAAATTGCAATGACTAGATTTGAGTGTTAATCTATTTGTGATTGTTATAATCTTGGATGAGTTACAACATTCTTGAGCTTCTTTCTTCATCTGAAAGATCAGTACAGAAGATCCCAGGGCTGTTATGAGCTGAAGAGACAACAGAAGCGGCTGCTTTGTACACATCAAAGCTCTTTTTGCACGAAAACCATTAAACTGGTCAAAACCAACATAAAAAAGAAAATGCATTTTGTAATGAGATTAGTACCGTATTTCTCCCAGTTGTAGAATACTGTTAAATATTCATCTTATAAAGAAGAATGCTATCACATAGACTTTTCTACCAGAGTTATCTTTCAGAGAAACACGGGTAAATTTTTGCGATAAGCACCACAGATGAACTTATTTCATAAGCCTCGTATCCAGATCCAAAGGAAAGGTATATCAACCTGTATGTTAATAGACTGAAAAAGAAACAAACAAACTGATCAAAAATATATTTGATCATAAAATATTTGTCTTCCACCATTCCAAACTCAGTATGCAAAATAGGAAAACCGTACATTATAATGTCAGCAATGGGGTATAACAGTTTAAATTGGGTTGATACTATTTTGAGGTAAGGAAATAGAATAAAGCATCCGATCCACACTAATGGTGAGCAGTATTTTTTTTCTCTCACTCGAGGAAAACCCTATTGTTCTCTGCCCTCCTTTCTCCCTTCAGCCGCGCTCTAGTAATTTTGTTTAAGGAAACCCCAGTGAGTTGTAAATGATACTGATTTTACACCCAGGTTCTCATCCATAACCCTGACCCAAGCTGTCACTTTTCTATCACCCATGTTGTTTGCGGTGCCCAATTTCTTTTCAATCTAACAGTATAATAGCTTGCTTTGGCAAATTATCTTTATGCTCATGTGATAATGAGCTTATTGTCAAGAAAAACAATTTGCTTCACAAAATAATTTGAATCCCAAGTAAGTCTCCCATTCCACTAATCAGAGAAGTTTGTGCTATAACAACTGTTCAAGAATGGGGCAGACTTCAAATACGCAAATAATAGTCAAGCTGAGAATAAAATCAAAGCCGCTATACCTTTTACCATAGCACCAAAGATGATGACATACCCGGGAATATGCCTAAGAAAGGGCATGAAAGATCTCTGTAAGGAAGACTATGGAACCCTGAGAAAAGAAATAGCAGAAGAAGTTAACAAACGAAAAAGCATACCATGTTCACTGCTGGGAAGAATAAACATCATGAAAACGTCCTTACTACCCAAAGTGATCTACAGGATTAGTGCCATCCCCATCAAAGCACCAATGTCATACTTTGAAGAACTTGAAAAAATAGTACTTCATTTCATGTGGAACCAGAAAAAAATCCAAATAGCCAATACAGTTTTTTGAAATAAAAACAAATCTGGAGGTATCACATTACCAGACTTTAGGTTACACTACAAGCCTATAGTGATTGAAACAGCATGGCACCGGCACAAAAATAGAAATACAGATCCATGGAATAGGATAGACAACCTAGAGATGAACCCAGCCACATAGCACCATTTGATCTTTGGTAAACTAAACAAAAGCATGCACTGGGGGAAAGAATCCCTGTTTAATAAATGGTGCTGGGAGAACTGGTTATCCACATGTAGAAGACTAAAATTGGACCCACACCCCTCACCGTTGACAAAAACTGACTTTCACTGGATAAAGGATTTAAATCTAAGACATGAAACAATAAAAATTCTGGAAGGGAGTGAGGGGGAAATGCTTGACAACCTTGGCCTAGGAAAAGATTTTATGAAGAAGACCCCCCCGGCAGTTGCAGCAAAACCAAAAATAAGTGGGAACTGATCAAGCGAAAAAGCTTCTGCACAGCTAAGAGTACCGTAAGTAGAGCAAACAGACAGCTTGGGAATGGGAGAAGAGTTCTGCATGTTACAAACCTGACAAAGGGCTGATAACTACAGTCTACACAGAACTCAAATTAATCACTGAGAGAAGAGCAAACAACCCCGTTTATAAGTGGGAAAGAGCCATGTAAAGAAACTTCTCTGAAGACGACAAATAATCAACAAATACAGGGAAAAAATGTTCATCTCTAATCATCAGCGAAATGCAAGTCAAAAGCTCTCTGAGATACCACGTAACTCCAGTGAGAATAGCCCACGTCACAGAGTTCCCAAACTGCAGGTGCTGGTGTGGATGTGGAGAAAAGGGAACACTTCTCTGCTGCTGGTGGGAGTGGAAAGGAAGTTTGGAGAATCCTTAAAGAACTGAAAGTCAACTTCCATTTGATCCCACAATTCCATTACCAGGTATCTACCCAGAACAAAAATCATTTTACCACAAAGACATTTGCACCAGAATATTTATTGCAGCTCAATTCATATTGCAGTTCCCGTAATTGTGGGAGCAATTCAAATCCCCATCAACCCGTGAATGGGTTAACAAACTGTGGCAGGTGTACACCATGGAGTATATTCAGCCGTAAGAAGAGATGGAGACTTCACATCTTCTATATTTACCTGAATGGCGTTGAAACATACTTCCCAGTAAAGTATCTTATGAATGGGGAAAAAGTATCCAATGTACTCAATACTAATATGAAACCAATATATAGACAATTACATGCCCACAGGAATAATCAAACACAACTATGATCTAGCAAGGGGGAGGGGAAAGGAGGGAGAGGAGGAGGAAGGGGGTGGGTGATTGGCGGGATCTCACCTGAGGTGCACAGAGTGAGGGGAAGGGCTCAACTACAACTTGAACCTTATAATTGAAAACAACATAACCTAAAAATTTGTATCTTTATATTAATTTGAAATAAATAAAATAATTTGCATTTCCCTGAAACAAAAAGAATGGTGGCTAAATTCTATTTTTTATGAACAAAAATAAAAATTACCTCTAGTCAGTAGATAAACCAAAGAAAGTGATTGCTATCAAATGGATACCAAAATCAAGTTAACTTGAAAGACAACTTTAATGCTAAAACTTGCATGAGAAACTCAACAAACTTATTTTGAGATGTTTCTGTCTTCCTTTCCAGTGATAAAGATTATGTTTTATCATTTTTTCACATCCTCATAGAAACTTCAATTTTAACATTGAGTTGCATCATTTCTTTAGAGTATTTCTAAACTCAGTGATGAATTTCAGAATCTTCCTAAAATAAAAGCAGATTGCACTGAGCAATTCACATATGAATAATGCAGTGTCATTCATATAAAGAACTATAATATTTATTATCAATGACTGATATTTTTCTGAGTTTGGCCTCAGAACAAGAGAAAATAGCAAATAACACCAGCCTCTGACTACAGACAGAAACATTTAAATGCTTTAAGTTTGTTTTCATGAAAATTCAAGTATCTGTAACTAAAACCCCAAATCAGTGTGTACAGTGACCCTTTTGCCCTTCTCACATTTCAGATGTAAGACTCCGTTTTAGTACCGTTGCATATTAGTAGGAAATACAGTGAAACACCTGTAAATTCATCCCCCAAAGGACTGTAACAAACTGGTCCACACAGGGAGGTGGTCAACATAAGGAACTAGGCCTACTGTGCTGAATTAGGCCTACTGTGGTGCGTGTCTGGTCTATGAAACTTAGGTCTACTTAAGGTGTGGTCAGTGTAGGGAGGTGGTCAGCTATGGGGGTTCTACTGCAGTTTTTTGTATCTTGATCACAAAGTGGATATTACAATTTTTAGAGAAGAGTATCAGTGGGTTCCGTGTGGAATCGCAACTCCTCTTCTTACAGAGATTATACACATACTCATTTATAAAACTTACCATATCTGTTTCTTTCCTGAAGCCTAGCACAGCAAGTGCAAGCTAAATGTGTCTTTTGTCTTCCAGACCCTTTGAACTCAGACCAAGATTCTTCACATCATCACCACGGCACCAGCAGTGGCTCTGTGGCAGCTGCTATCCTGGTTCCATTCTTTGCTCTAATTTTATCAGGGTTTGCCTTTTACCTCTACAAACACAGGTACTGTAAAATTGCATTTCAGAATTTGTGGGTGTGCAGTATGGGTTTCAGCAGTGCTCATGCTACACTCACGCACACGTACATTTTATATTGCTGTGTGCTAGCACCCCTCACATCAAGAGTGCTTCCATGCCAAGGTTTTGGTTGGTGTTTGTTTTCTGAGTTTTTCTTTTCTTTTTTTTTTTTTTTTTTTTTTAGTTTAGTTCTGTTTTTTTGTCCTACTTTTACAGTGGGACAGAGTTGAGTGATAAGAGAATAAATGGCCTGGTTAATAAATAACATGCTGGAGGTGCCCGTAGCTCAGTAGGGAGGACACTAGACACATACCCACAGGCTGGTGGGTTCAAACCCAGGGCAGGCCTGCCAAATAATGAGAACTACAAAGCCAGGCATTGTGTCAGGTGCCTCCAGCTACTTGGGAGACTGAGGCAAGAGAATCACATAAGCCCAGGAGTTTGAGGTTGCTGTGAGTTGTGATGCCACAGCACTCTACCCAGGGAGGCCTAATAAGACTGTCTCAAAAAAAAGAACGAAATAACATGCTTTGTTTCCACAGCCAGCTAGCAGAACGTTGCTGTGTTTTTTCAACCTTCCAGCAGAGGGGTGCACACATGTTCTGTACAGCTGCTTCCAACTCCATGAATTTATATGACTGATGAACTTGTATTGATTTCTGCTTTCAACAAGTAAAAATGTAGTTCTTAATATATACTGAGAAGTGTTAGATGTTCCACTCCTGAAATCTGAATTTCTAATAATTTGCAAAACCAGACAAAAAGGAAAAATCAACTTAATGAAATAAATTATTTCATAGGAGTTTATATGAATGCCAAAAATAAATGATTTTAGAGGAATTACAAAGTTCTTATACATTTCATCTCTAGATGGATAATATATTACCTGGAGCAATCTGACCAGGCCAGACTACTCTAAAAGATTATTTGAAATAGCAGCATTACCTTCAAGTAATAGGAAAAATAAAATTTTGAGCCCTAAAGAAAGGTTAAATATGTTACATGTGTCAAATGTTTATTCACATAATATAGACAGTTCCACTTCATCCTAGTTCAAAAAAAAAAAAAAAAAATACTTGGCCAGTGCCTGTGGCTCAAGGAGTAGGACACAGCCCCATATGCTGGAGGTGATGGGTTCAAACCCAGCCCCAGCCAAAAACTGCAAAAAAAAACTTGTGTGAAATTTTTATTCTTATTATTTTTTGCAGTTTTTGGCCGGGCTGGGTTTGAACCTGCCACCTCCAGCATATGGGGCCGGCGCCCTACTCCTCTGAGCCACAGGCACTGCCTGAGATTGTTATTTTTTAAAGTAATTCATGGACTGTCTTCTTTAAATGTGTGTTTTCTGGAAAGAATGTTTCTTTAGTTATATTGTTTTAACTGCTTGCATGTCTTCACTTTCAGAAGGTTGGTAATGTTCTTACTTAAAAAAAACGTAACCCAATGAAAGAAATTTCAGGTGGCATTTACAAAACTACAGATTGACACATCTGCATTATTTTTAATTTGAAAAAAATAAGTCCTATGCACACAGGTCTGGTGAGCCTGCTCAGGGCTAGTTTAAAATTTAGTAAATGTAGAAACGTATGTCATCACCTTGTCTAATAAAATGCCATAATTAGAAGTTCTCTTCTTAAAAGGATGTAAATTAAAAACGGATCTTTTTTTCACAAGTGCCTGTAGGAAATATAATAGGAGACACACACGATAGAAATTTATAATTCCTAAAAATTCCTTTGTGCTGTCTTGGTATCCACGGTAACCCTGAGGAAAGATTCATTTAAGCCAGCGGTTCTCAACCTGTGGGTCGTGACCTGCAGGAACTATATTAAAGGGTTGCAGCACTAGGAAGGTTGAGAAACACGGATTTAAGCTCTTTTCCTTCTTCTGTTGACATTCCTGAGGTCAGCAGGAAGGGCTCAGGTCATCCTCTCCTGCCCTCATGCCAGGCGCTGGACAGCACCCCTGAGTCAGAGCCGTGTCTCCCTGCACCACCGAAGACTCACACCTTCACACAAGGCTCAGATTAGCTTGTCCTTGAAAAAGATACTCCCGCATGATTATATATATTGGTACATAAATTAAATATGACTTCTGGTTACATTCAACTTTAGCAGGGATATTCTACATACATTTGCTTAAGTCTTTAAACCTTAGAAACCTTCAGTAGTCAGCTGCCCCGATGAAGGTAGTGCTGTGGGAATGCATCTCGGACTGCACAACCAGCTGGGGGCAAGGTTTCACTTGTTTTTATGCAGATTTGGTAACTCTTCTGAGCTAGTGGAAAATTGAAGGTTGTCAAGATTGAGCTTTCTTTCTTGCCAGCACCAAATCCAAAAGGCATCTGGATCATGAAGGAACTCTCCCATCTCGTGGCTCTCAAAGAGGCTGCTGTGACGTCTACATCTGCAGGAGCTTTGAGCTCTGCACTCCTGTGCTGTATGAGCAACCTCAGAATGTTTGGAGAAGCAGGGAACCAGGGCCCCATCAAGCCCATCTCCCCCCAAGTTCTCGCCCCTGCCGAGGAAGCACCAAGCCCTTAGCTTTCTCTCCTCTGGCTTCTCGGTCTCAATAGACACAGACGTTTCATGAGATGGCCTTGTATTTCTCCAGCTAAAACCTGGTTTTGGCTAATTTTGGGGCTGGGAGTTGTGTTCTCTGGCAGGGCCTAAGGTCCTGACTCAGCCCTCTACATGGCTGGGCTGTGCTGGGTCATCTCTCTGGGGTCTGCATTTCCCTAGCAAAGAATAGGCAGCAGTGACTTGTGATCCCAGGGACAGAGAGAGCAGGTGAGCCGGGTCTTCACCTCTTTAGGAAGAGGCTAATTTGTTTGCTAACTTTTTCTGCTAGAGCATTTTCCAAGTTCAATGTCATAGCCCTCTCTGGTCCCAAGCACAGTTGTAAAGCTGGTGTTCTGCCTGTTTCTGGTGGCCATGCATGCCTTACTTCTGCTTTTCTTAATGAACTAAGAAACTAAAGAAAATCTACTAGTGAATAATGAAAGCAGAAGTTTATTTACATCCAATATCAAATTATTTTATTAAAGTTCTGTTTTTTGCTACCTGGTATATTTCTCTTATGTAATTTCTTCTTGAATAAGAAAAAAATAGAAAAAGAGCCAGACCACATATGTTAAGGCCTTTTAAATCTTAAATTAAAAAAGGAAATCCAAAATAAATAAATAAATAAAAATCCTCTAACTCTTTAATCATAGAGTATATGTAAGGGTTTTCTTTTAACTGCAAAATGTAAATAATACTCTAATAATGAATATATCTTCTTTTCTACAATTGATTCTTTCTTTTTTTTTTACATTTTTTTTTACTGTGGATTCATTTTAACTCTCCAGATATAAAAAATCAGAAGTAGTTGTCACTTAGCGCATGTTGGGAGCTTATAATTGTGACTTAGTTCAGTCTTAGCAGGACTACAGGGGAGAAATCATGCTCCCCATCCTTACTTTACAGGGTGGCAGACAGTTCAGTGACCTGAAGCGGCACCCAGCTCATCAGTCATGACTGAGCATGCAACCCAAGATCTGTCTGACTCCGGCCACTGGGATCTTCCCAACTTCCCAGGACATTTACAGGAAGCACAAATGAACCTTTGATTTATAAATGGCTTCATTGTGTACAAACCTCTTTATAATCCCAGCTACTAATTTAGGAGAAAAAAAAAAAAAAGAACTCTGAGGAGTGAGCAGATATGCAAGCCGTCCTGACTTTCCCAGCTTCTGGCTCTGGGGGAGTGTGTCACAGACACAGTCCCAGCTATTCTATTTTATTAAGTCAGGATTCTAATTGTGGGCTTTCTCTTTTTCTTTTAGAACAAGACCCAAAGTTCAATACAACGGCTATGCTGGACACGAAAACAGCAACGGACAAGCTTCCTTTGAAAACCCCATGTATGATACAAACTTGAAACCCACAGAGGCCAAGGCCGTGAGGTTTGACACGACTCTGAACACAGTGTGCACGGTGGTATAGCCCTCCGCGCCCCGGCAGGACGGTTCATAGCCATACCTCTGACGGACAAGCAGTGATTCCTTTGGTGCCATAAACCACTCTCCCTTCCACTTGCTTCGCCGCAGCGACCTTTAACACCGTCCACTGGCACACACGAGCGGGGTTTTCTACTCGAATGCGCCACAGTCTTCACGCGTCTTCATCCCGAAAGTGGATTCTAAATGCCTGGCTGCACCTGCTTGGAAACAAGGCTCCAGGGAGACGGCGGGTCGGCCGACGCTTCAGAGTTCGTGTTTCTGTGTTGCTGGGATGCCTTTCAATGCAATCTTCTGGGCACGTGGATACATCTTTCCTCCGTGGTGACAGAATGGTAGCACCACAATGTGTGCGTGTGCGTGTGTGTGTACGTGTGTGTGGTTTTTTTTTTTAATTAAACCCCATGAACAGGAATATTCTTGAAAAAAAAAATAAAAAGCTTTCCTAAAGGAGACACCTTTCTGATAGAGACACACATACAAATGCTTCACTCCATCCCTCAAGACCTGGCGAGCTTTGAGGACCTCACAGCTCCGTGAGTCATCTCTAGGGACTTGGCAAATTTCCCACTCAGCTGTTCCATCACAGAATTCTTGATGCACAATTTTTGCACTAGCGTGTTATGAGTGACAAAGAGTCTGATTATTTACACAGGGTTTATTCGCACTCTCTGTAGATAAGCATCCCTCCTATTATCAAGCTAATTTCACCATCAGCTTAGTCTGAGTGTTTGGGGCAAGGAGAAAAGGTATGGCACAGATTTTAGCAGGAAAGGTAGTATTGAAGAGATTTATTTTATTATTGCTTCTATTCGCTGCGTTTATGTGTTGAATTCATCAAAGAGGTCCAATGAGAAAAAAAAAAAGGCGCTTTTTAATTCTCATGCGTTTTTTGCCTTCAGTGGCATCACCATCCAATTATTGTCTAAATTATAGGACTTCCTAGCAGGGGGGTTGCATAAATTTCTATTTGCTATGTAAAAATGTGAATAGTAATTTATTTTAGATAGCTCATGGACTTGTGGGTTCCAGCTCACACTGCAGGCTTCCCTTTTGCGCTGTTAGTTTCTGTTTCTTCGACTGCGCCATCACTCTCTGATATTGCATTGAAAGACAGCATACCACAGTGGCACCTTGAACTTGATGAAAATTGTTCAGGCTCAAAGTACTAAGTGTTCCTTTGGAGGTAAGGAAAAATTACACGTGCCATCCTCTCACTCACGATGATATGTTTTATTAATATATATCGGTTTGCCTTTTGTTTCACGCTTTGTAATTGCAGGTGGGAGGGTAACTTCAATCGTTTTTCAAGTGTAAAGTTCATGGTAGGTCAATTATGAGTTAACAAGTGTAAGTTAAACAGGTCTGAGCCCCAACGTGGATAAAATCCAAACGTGAAGTAGAAGCCGGGCCCACGAGAATGTTGATGTAACAAGTTCAAAGTGAAGATCATGTTTATTTTTATTTATACTTGTTTGATAAAAATATTTTTGAAAAGATAAAGCTTATTTTATTATTTCATGTTCAAGTACATATTCCACATGTGGAAAACGCCCCCTTTCTGGCCCTCCAGATTGGCATCGGCAGGAATATTGGAATGCTCACCTGGCCTTCACTTTGTTGTCACGACCGCAGTCGTACCCGGCTTAAGGACAAATGTGTTTGTTTGTCTATGGAATGTTTAAATGCACGAGGAAAAAGGAAAACCCATTGGGATACCAGGGCATTCCCTCCGGAGTCGCACGTTTTGATTTGAACGTTTTATAGACGTGTTCCCCGGCCCCCCACCCGTGCTGCACTCCCGCTGCGGCTGCGTCCCTGTGGGGGTGCCCTGCCCCTGTGGTCACCCCTCCATCTGCGTCCACGTGGGGGTGCCCACGCCTCCATCTGTGAGTTCCATACTGTTGGATTCCATGTTCCTATGCTGAATTCTCTGCACATTTCCCCCTGGCCAACCTGGACAGCATCCTTGGAGATTTGCTTCGCAAACAGGAATCCTTACGTAGCTGTTTCTCAGTAGAACAGAGGAGGTCAGCAGGTGTGCTCCTGGCACACAGGGTGAATGAGACAGAGGAAAGGTAGAAAGCTGGAGGCCCGCCATGTGCAAGGGAGAACAGGGTTACTATACATATTAGGTGTATATATATACATATATATATATATTGTACATATCTAAGTTTGAGTCATTCAAACCAGGTGCGAAACACTGACTTCCGAGGCTGAATTCATGTCTCTCTTCCCACAGCCCTGGCCTGCTTGCTGGTCAGTGACATGATGAAACCCTGAAGTGACAGGACCTACACACACACGAGAAACCACATATCAGATTCATGTTCTTTCCTTTGTGTGCAAAGTCAAACTGTCCTGTGGTTGCCGGTTTGGAGCATGTTATTTAAAAAAAAAAAAAAGTGAGCGATGTTCTCTTGTGAGAATTCTGCCTGGTTTCCTCCGAGGGTGTGTGCAGAATCTAGTCAGGTCTCCCAGAAGGGCCAGGGGCTCTTACTAGGGGCAGTCGGGAGACACGCTGGCCACATTGGGTCTGGAAGACTCTTCCCAAAGGCAACTGGACGGCCGCGAGGGAAGCGACCACTCGCTGGAACAGGACGCGCTTCAGAGCTGTTCAAAGCTGCTGTTTGTCTCACACACACATCTTGCCTTTTTTCAGGCTAGCTGCAATAATTTTTTTCTTCTGTAAAATATTTTGTAAACAACGAAAACAACAACAACAAAAAAAAGCTATTAAAAAAGGGGGAAAAAAAGAACGCTGGCATTATGATCAGGAAAACCCGTCCTCACCGCCACCCCTCCCGCTGTCCCTCCACACGCTGCTGTCACCACGTAGGTGCAAAAAACCTTTTTGTACAGAGATATATTTTTTATGAAGAATTTGTAAAATTATTAAATATGCTGTAATTTTTGATTAATGTAGGTACATTGTTAAAAAAATAAATGTTTTTACAATACAGAACTGTAATTTTCCCAATAATGTAAAATGTACCATCTCTAGTGGATTTTCAGTTCCAATCCTATGACACATGTATCCATACTCAAGTGGCCTGTTAAAATGAACAGTATCTTTTTTGTCAAAAAAAAAAAAATTATAAAGAGAGTGTAATATAGCCTGTGCAATGCCACTGATCTTTAAAGCAAATCAGAGTTCTAATTAATTAAATATTTAATTTTAGATTTCTATTTTTTTGGTGTGAATTTATTTTGGTACTTAAGTTCACTGCAGGGGCGGGGAAGGAAGGAAGTATTTGTTAAGGTCCTTTATTATATTTTCAATGAAGCTCGGTATTTTCCTCAAATATTCTCATCACTGTCATGAATAATAAACAACACGTTTACAAGGAACCATGATACACAGAATGGTAGGATTGACGTCGACAGATTTCTTGATGGTTTGCATGAAAAACAGTGATGTTTGCCTCCAAACCAAATCTATGTTTTTAAAGATTTCTTTACCATTGGGGAGAATTTTTCGGTGAACTTTCACCACACTGAAAAATGACATGTCAGAAAATTATTGACCTATTTAACGAAGCATCTCAAATATCATACTTGAAGGAGGCTCAGAAAAAAATGTTATCTACTGTAGCTTTGAAAACCCTGAGCCACCACCCTCCCTTTGGGCCTGGGCTGGAGACAATGAAAGGCTTTCCAAGTCCTTCGGGAAGCCTGGATGCCTCACGGTTACACAGGATGATAGACTAATTTTCCTGACAGTCAAATAATTACACAAAGAAAAACAACCAATCATAGGGCGGTGCCTGTGGCTTAAAGGAGTAGGCAGCGGCCCCATATACTGGAGGTGACGGGTTCAAACCTGACCCTGGTCAAAAACTGCAAATAAATAAATAAAAATAAATAAAAGCAACGAATGGTAAAAAATATCCCTTTCATGGCGTCAAAGGAACCAAGTTCCGCAGTTCTGGTGTCTTCTGGCTGGCAGCTTTGTTTATTGCCGTTCATAGAACACCCCCCTGATCTCAAGACCCAGTCCTGGGCGACCTGCAGACGTTAAACAGAATCCTCAGAATCTAGCAAGGTAGGGTTTTCTGTTTTCATGTTTTAGATTAAAAAATCAGAGATTTAAAAAAAAATAATTTACCCAATGGTGCACACATATACAGAGCTAGTATTGGAGGTCAAGTTTCTTTTAACATCTTTTTCATAAAAAAATTACATTATTAAATTTATCAATAGTCTCTTTTTTGCAACTAAATTTTTCTGTTATACTATTTGTAATTTACTTTTACTCCATTTGGCAAATAATTACCACAAGCTAAGAAGAATTCTAAGGAAAATAAATACTCTGTATTATTAATTTTACTATCCTACAGATTTTCTGCACAAAATATGTCCTTGAGAGTTACTTAGTGAGTTAAGTTGGGACCTGGAAGCTCATCAATTCTCCTATGAGTCTTTATTTACCCACTGATATGACGGAAGAGCTTTGCTTGTAATTTACCTTCCTAGTGACGCATCTTTATACTCGACTGGGAATCAACAGTCTTACAAACTCAACTCCCACATCTGGGATATTTAGCGTGTGACAGGACGTCTGCACAGAGCAGTAGAATGTGAACCAGGTACCCTGTGGCTCTCACACTCAGTGCTGCGTCCCCTGTGGAGGACTGTGAATTAGACTCCTGCTCACTGTGGCCCGGGCAGCCAGGAAAGACGGACACCTCCATCTTGCACTCCCAGCTGTGGTTCTTCACAGTATTAAATAGAACCTGTCTTGCTCGTTGCCTCACTTGAAGGGCTTTCAGAGAATTGTAGGATTATTGTAATTATCCAACAGACTCAATGACTCCAGGCAGCAAGCTTATGATCTCCTGGTAGGTCTCCTCCTTTCTCGTGGTGACAGCTCCCAGCTGTCCCTGGGGAGTCAGCTTGGGGGGAAGGATGTGCCGCTATTCCCCGCCCATCCCTGGCCCGGGGAAGGACATCGGTGTCTGAGTCCTGACTGCACCACCCCTATGTGGGGGCATATCTGGCTGAACTTTCCCTGAGGCCCCAGCCCTTCACGGCAGGAGAGCAGCCGCTCACTCTGCCTGCCCACTTGCATCTCGTGGCCTGGCCACTGGGCTTTTCTCTCCATCCTGGGAGCTCACT